ATATACCATAATAATTATACATATATAATACATAATACATATATAAATACATATACATATTAATACAGTATACAATATATAAATACATATACATATATAATACATATATACAATAAATACATATACATAATATTAAATACATATACATATTAATACATATACATATATTAAATACATATACATATATAAATAACATATACATATATAAATACATTATACATATATAATACATATAATATATAAATACATATACATATATATAAATACATATACATATATAAATACATATACATATATAATACATATACATATATAAATACATATACAATATTAAATATCATATACATATATAAATATATATACATACATAAATATACATATACATACATAAATACATAAATACTGACATACATAAATAACAGACATATACATACATAAATATATATACATACATATACATCATATAAATATATATACATAACATAAAATATATACATAATTACAATATATATACATACAATAAATATATATACATACATAAATAATATACATACCATAATATAATACATACATAAATATATATAGCATACATAATATATATACATACATAAATAATATATACATACATAAATATATATAACATCATACATACAATATATATCTATATATATAATATATTATATATATTATAATGTGTATATGTATATATATATTGTGTGTATATGTAATAAATTATAATATTGTGTATATGTTTATGATATTTTGTGTATACTTATATGGATATATTGTGTATATGTATATGTATGTATTTTGTTGTATATGTATATGTATATATTGGTGTATAGTATATGTAATATACTGTATATTGTGTATATGTATATGTATATACTGTGTATATGTATATGTATAATATATGTGTATATGTATATGTATATATATGTGTAATATATTGTATCATGTATTGTAATTTATATACGTATATATGTGTTTATATATGTGTATATTCATGATGTATATATGTGTTATTATGTGTATATTTATATGTATAAATGTGTTTATATATATATATATATATATTATATATATATATATATACATATATATATATATATATACATATATATACATATATACAATATATATACAATAATATACAATATATATACAATATATATATACATATATATATACAATATATATACATAATATAAAATATATATATATATAATATATATACATATATTACATATATATACATATATACATACATACTATATATAATAATATATATATATATATAACATATATACATATCATACATACATATATATACATATATATACATACATAATAATATAACATATCATATATATATACATATATATACAATACATATATATACATAATATACATACATATATATATAATATATATAATACATACATATATATATAATACATATATATAACATATAATATACATTATATATATACATATATATATATCATATATATATACATATTTATACTCATATACATACATATATTAACTTATACACATTTATACATATATTACATATATATAACATATTGTATACATATGTAATACACATATGTATACAGTATATATACATATTATCTATAACTATATATACATATATTAACATATACATACATATATATCATATACACATATATGTATATATACATATACATATATAGATACATATATATACATATACCATATAATATACATATACATACATATACATACATATATATACATATACATATAGTATAGACGATAGTATATACATATATATTACATATAACATACATATACAATATATAGGAGTAGGGATAATGAAGTATTTGAGTATATAATGAGTATCTATATTTATATATAGATATGTAATTATATAGTAATAAATATATGAATATGATGTATGAATATATATAGTATATATATATATATGGTATTTAATAATTTACATATATATATATATATATATATAAAGGGTAGGAAGTTATATATATTTATATATTATATATATATATATATATATATATATATTATATATATTGCGTATGACGGAATATCCATTAGCCTATCTATCGCATGAGTGAAATACTAGCTCAAACGTCTAAACATCTCGAAAGTTTCCAGCTGTTTATCAGGATATGAACTTCTCTATAATATACTGATGAGGGATCCCATCAATTCATAATAATTTTTGTATAACGTTTTATGATGTTTATTCAAATATTCTTAAATAAACCTAATATGAATATGAAATTAAACATTCCCTCGTGTACATAGTATATACACACCTTGCATACACTAATAGAGATTCTACTTTACATATACATAGGTGTGATATACAAATCAAAATCCTCGAATGCATACGATTGTTACATATTTTTAGAAATGCTCGGAAACGCGACGTCACCTCCCTTCCCCCCCACATACCCATCCCCCAGCACTGACTGGTACCAAATGACCCAACATGACCCTGAGAAGAAGCACGACTGACCAGCCACTTGGTCCCAATGACCAGACCCTCAGGGCAGCGCATGGCAAGGAGAGGGCTTCAGAAGAGCTGCAAAATTGTGGTTAATGACTTTGACACAGCGTGAAAAAGCTAAGAGAATTTGACAATCAGACATAAAAAAAATCCTAGGAGGTAGCATTCCGTTAGAAAAATATATATTTATATACTTCAAAGTTTAAGAAAAGGGGAGAAGGTAGTGGGTTAAGCTAGCAAAATATGAAATCTGGCACGTCCAGTAATAAACAATAATAAAGAAGATCAGCATGATCTATTATATTTTGACAGAAAATTTTGCAAGGGAAAATTATAAGCCTAAGAATGAGACTGCTTGGACGGCCATGGCTGCAAACAGCGAGGATCCAGGATTGAAAAGAGATTAGTCAGTCTGAGACAGATGACATATAAAACAACTAGTCAAATAAAAACAGTATTGCAGACATCAATACATTAATGCCAAACACATCTACACTACACACATTATATTGTTCATTTTTAGATTGTTAAAAGGTGTCTCGCGACAAACTCAACAATACAGTTTTAAGTGAGACATTATGAAGGTGTCCTTCTGGTGAGAGTTATTCGGTGCCAGAGTTTCAAAGAGGTAATATTGGCAAGTGAAAGTACTATAACAATGAAATAAAGAGACGAAAATGTTATAAAATATTTCAATGTTCAATGCATATACACCTCATCCAGGGTAATTTAGAGAAAGGTGGACACCTTCATAATTGTGAACACGGATGTTATCATACTTGTCTATAAATAGTCAAAACAAATATGTTAATACACTTAAGTTTTGCATCTAACAGTAAAAAAAAGGTAATCGAACTACACGTTAAATTATGGCACAACAACAGAACCAAAGAAAACTCGGAACTTTTACTTTACTTGAACAGCAATCTACATTTTTGCTTACTGCGAGACCAGGACTTACAAACAGGATGAACACCGCGATACAAGCGCAATACTATATCACGTAAACAGCATGACAACGTTGAATTACACGCTGATTCTAACTAATAATCATTTGCATTATAACGTCCACATGAACGGGAATTTGTGCAATATTTTACCCCCCAAAAGAACGGGGAAAAGACCCACTAATTTGCACGTTTTATTTATTCACATGTGTTAGTTTACATAATATTGTGTTAAGTTTGTCGTTGGTAATTAGCATTTCAGTTTTATGAATGTAGCAGTAGATGTGCTTAGGAGAGAAAGCGGCTGTTTTTACCGAAACACCGGGTGCAAGTTCGAAGTGAGCTTAATGAGCCATAACACAAGAACGTAATTATGGACGTGTAGACCGAGACGCACAAGATGCCAAAGAAAAGAGAATAGAATAGGCGTGTGAGATATGAGGATAGAAAGTGTGGATAATCGACTGAGATCTCCCAAGTGAGATGGATAGGGTCAAATTTAGAAATTGACATACTGAGATATGAGGTGTAAGAAAAAAATAGGGAGCGAGTTGATATATAACCACAATAAAAGAATAATAAGCAATGTTGGTGAATGATGATGGAGATGGATGATAGAGGAGGAAAGTGAAGGATAGTCTGAGATATGATGAGTGGTCTGATGATGATGATGATGATGATGGTGTTGATATGTCAATGATATGGAGGGATATTGATGATGGTGGAGCAGAGATGATTAGATGTTTAATGATAAGTAGATTAATGAAGGTGATTGATGTAGTGGAGGAAAAATGTATAGGAGGGGGGTATGGGCGTAAGGATGGAAAGCTGAATAAGATTTAGGTAAATGGTGAGTGGAGGAGAGATTGAACGTGGAGAGAATGAAATATGAAGTGATAGAATGATGAGAATGATAGAGGATAGGAGGAGTAATGGGTGTTTATAGTTACGGTTGAATGGATTAAAAACAGTAATAACAACACCAATGGAGCGAAGAAATTAATAAATAATGAATAAGGAAGATAGACAGAATAAGCAAAGTTAAATGAATGAAACAAGATAATAATGTTATTGAATAAATTGAATAGACAATAATAATAAATCGAGATAATAATAATAATATTAATAAGGATGATAATAAAATGATAGCCGGAGGGAGGGCACAATAAGTAATACTGGAGAGAGAATTAGGGACGAGATGGGAATAAAGCGGTATTCAGCTCAAATACACACTAGATCAATGAATCAATAATAATTACAATACTAGTGAACAATAATAATATAATAATATTGATAATTACAACATCCATGTGGAAGGTATATGGGATGCTAATTATGCATTAAGAATATATAAAAATCAATAGCAATAATCATAAAAGATAATAATAAAAATAACAATAAAAAATAGTAATCGATAACATGCTGCTAATGAATAACAATAAAAATAATTATAATAAATAAATTAAAATAATGAATAAAATAACCAAAAAACAACGAAAAACAAAAGTTACGGGAAGCGAGCCACTGACCTCCATTGACCAGCTCGCCGTCCTGCAGTTGTATCGCCACGCCAAACCCCCCAAGCTTGACCGGGGCGCTGTTCTCCTTGCACGCCAGGAGGACGCAGTGAGGCTTGATGTCCCGGTGGATGATGTCGTTCTCGTGGCAGTACAGCAGGGCCTCCAGGATCTGGCGCATGTAATGGCTGCGGGGCGAGGAGAATGGGGCTTTAGTGGACGGGCTAAAGGGGGGGAGGGAAAGGGCGGCGGGACGGCTGAAAGGGGAGGAGGGAAGGGCGGAGGGACGGCTGAAAGGGGGGTAGGGAAGGGCGGCGGGACGGCTGAAAGGGGAGGTGGGAAGGGCGGAGGGACGGCTGAAAGGGGGGTAGGGAAGGGCGGCGGACGGCTGAAAAGGGGGGAGGGAAGGGCGGCGGGACGGCTGAAAGGGGAGGGGGAAGGGGCGGAGGACGGCTGAAAGGGGGGTAGGGAAGGGCGGCGGGACGGCTGAAAAGGGGAGGTGGGAAGGGGGGCGGGACGGCTTGAAAGGGGGGAGGGAAGGGCGGCGGGACGGCTGGAAAAGGGAGGAGGGAAGGGCGGCGGGAGAAGAAACTGCTTAAAAAGGGAGGAAGGGAGATGGAACTGCTAAAAGGGGAGGGAGAAGAGATGGGACACCAAAACGGGGACGACGGCAGGAAAATGGAAAAGAGGGAAGAGGCTTGTTGGGGGGGGGGGGGACGACGACAAATACTGGAAGGGGGAAGGGGGATGGACAAATAGAGAGAGGAGGGAAGGGAGATGGAACAAATAGAAGAGGAGGGAAGGGAGATGGAACAAATAGAAGAGGAGGGAAGGGGGATGGAACAACTAGAAGAGGAGGGAAGGGAGATGGAACAAATAGAAGAGGAGGGAAGGGAGATGGAAACTAGAAGAGGAGGGAAGGAGATGGACAACTAGAAGAGGAGGGAAGGGGAGATGGAAACAACTAGAAGAGGAGGGAAGGGAGATGGAACAACTAGAAGAGGAGGGAAGGGAGATGGAACAACTAGAAGAGGAGGGAAGGGAGATGGAACAACTAGAAGAGGAGGGAAGGGAGATGGAACAAATAGAAAGAGGAGGGAAGGGATGGAACAACTGGAGAGAACAACTAGAAGAGGAGGGAAGGGAGATGGAACAACTAGAAGAGGAGGGAAGGGAGATGGAACAACTAGACTAGAAGAGGAGGGAAGGGGATGGAACAACAGATAGAGGAGGGAGAGGAAGAGGAGATGGAACAACTAGAAGAGGAGGGAGGGGGGATGAAATGCTCCAAAGGGGAGAAAAGAACGGGAAAAGAGAGGTAAAAGGATCGGCAGATGAAATAAGGGGGAGAAGATAATAAAAAAGAATAATGGGTAACGGGGGGGGGGGGGGGGGATTAAAAGGAGAAGGGGGAGAAGATAATAAAAAAGAAAACGGTAGAAGGGATGATGACAAATGGAATAAGGGAACGAAAATAGTGAAGAAAATGATGAAGAAAGGAAGAAATAATAAATAAACAAAAGGCGGGAAAATGCAAATAGAATGGATATCTAAGGAAGAGTGTGTGAAAGAGGGAAAAGAGAACAAGTGAGAGAGAGAAACTGGAGGTAGAGAATGCAAGGGAGGCAGAGGATGAGGGAAAGGGAGGAACAGAGAATAAAAAGATCTGCATCTATATCAAGTTATCATGCTGTACACACATATATGAAAAAACAATTCAGAAAAAATAAATAAATAAAAAGGGTAAAATCTTACATATGAAGCACTGACTTTATGTCACACAGATCGCAGGTGTAAAGAAAAAGAAAATTAACAAATTTGAATTCTAGGGATTATAAACCGGGTGTGTACACAAAATTAGAGAGACATAGATATGAAAATACGCGCGAGCGCGTGCGCGTGCGCGTGTGTTTGTATGTTATATGTCTGAATATATGAATGTTTACATGTTTGAATATATGCATATTTATATGTATGTGTATGTATCTGTCTGTGTGCACGTATATATGGATCTATGCAAGGATGTATGTACGTGCGTATATTTATACAAGCGTATATATGTATGTATCTCTCTCTATATATGCTGCATATCCACTCATCCATCCACTTATCAATCTGTCTATAAAGATTAATACATACATAGATACATAGATACACATACACAAATACCCGTCCAGCCACACCCACATCCACACCCACACATGCAAACCCAATTGTTCTTGTACAAGTGTATGTGTGCATATGCATGTGCTGTGCTTGTGCGTCGGCGCGTGCAGGACACGAAAAAAGGCTTCGAGGACTGCAGCCGGAGGGACGGGCGCCTGCAAACGAGGTTAGGCAAATTCGGGGCAGAAGATCGAGGGCAAAGAAGTGGGCGAGTCTGCCATGCGAGTCTGCCGTGGTCCAGTATGTTTGCTGGTAAATAATGAACGAGTCCATCGACACGTAGGCGTCTCCCTTTTCTTCGCAGTGTGAAGGACAAAAAGCCTAATACGAAAATCATAAATATATTCTTGGTTTCGCATTACACTGAACCCTTATTCGACCACCTACAGGCTTACTTTATCATCTTCGTGAATAGCGAAAATATGTACAGCTCAACCTACACATAAAAGCTAATAAAAAAACAACTATTGAAAGGCCACTCTTCTTAATGAATATCGAAGAGATACCCTACAAATTGCACCG